ACATTTTAAAAATAATTTCATTTGAAAATGACGAAAATTCTATGTATATTCACTACACTTTTAGTCAGAAAAGTATTACACACTTAAGTTCCTAAAAAAAGAAATTGTGGTTACATGTAATACAAAAGAAAATCTAATAACCCTACGATATATTTACCGAAAACTTTTTTTTTTGTTTAAGCAAAGAAGCAATTGAACAAAAAAAAAAAGTGAGGGAGGTTAGGATTTGATCTGACGTGGCGACAAGTATGTGGGTCCATTTTCAAGTGGAATCCTACCTGGCATACACTCAAGTGTCAGCGATCAGACACATGCAAAATGAAATATCGAAGTAACTTGTCGCCATGTCATTATCAGTCAATACATGGGACCCATATTTCTTGCATATATTGGCCCACCCACCGGCCTATACTTGTCGCCACCGGTCCACGTAGATTAAATACAAATATGAAAACAAAACCGATAAGGCGATAACGCTAGAAGAAATAGAAAGCGAGAAGTTGACAAAAAAAAGTGAGTAGAACAACAAATAAACCCATTATTATTTACATTAAGAACAACAAAACTATATTGTGTTACAAAAAATAAAAAATAAACAAACAGAGGTTATTGGTTTATATAAAATTTTGTAGGCCATATATAATAATACAATGGATTGATGCTAGTTATAATAGATAGGAGAGTATAAAATGAAACTAGACAAATAAACCAAAAACGCATAGATTTAGCATTGTATACTATTCTATTTTTTCACTTTAAATGATGCTTTAATTTTTTTTGTTCAATATAAATAATATTTTTAATTTTCTATGCAAACTTTAATGTTGTTTGATGTTTTTATCATTTATATTTTATTGTATGTTTTTATTGGTTGAGTTAGTTTTAATTAATGCAAAACAAATAAAATTTAATAATTTTAAAATTAGCACTCCTTCCGTTTCATTTTATTTGTCGTTTTAGATTTTTACAGATAAATTAAAAAAAGTTTTAATTTTATATATTTTCAAGATAAAAACAGGATTACCTATATATCTAACCACTTTTAACCAATTTATAAATAAAATAACATATTGAGTTAATAAAATTTGCATTGAAATTATAAAATAACACTTATTATAAAACATAATTTTTCTCAACAATGACAAGTAAATTGAAACGGAGAGAATATATACAATCTTAAATGCTAATTATATTGACAAAGAGAAAAGTCAACTAAATTTATAGATATGTTTTTTATTAGAAGTTAAAAATATTTTAAATTAAAAAATGAGATATATATAATGTTTGTAGTTCTAAAATTACAATATATATATATATATATATATAGTGATGACCAATAAACATATTTAATATGCCTAAAACTAAATAAAAGAGATTTGTAAATGAAGGAGATTAATTAGAACATCAATAATTCAATACTAACAATAAAAATATGATTATCAGTAAAACAAAACTGGTAGTTAGAAAACAAATTATGCTGATATTCAGTTATTCAGTCCCAAAATATTTAGAGTACCATCTTTATTAAAACCATCTCTAATGATTTTTCTAATTTTTTTTCTTCAAAATAAAGTAAACTCAAAATGAATTTGTGATTTGTTCCAATGAATTCCATATATCTTCTCATTCAATTCTTAATATAATCATTTTTCAACTTCTTATTTATTGCAAACAACACTCTTTATTTTAAAACTTAAAATTATGTTCACTTATTTTACAATTTGATATTTTAAACTAAAATATATCTTTATCAAAACACACTATTTATTGTATTCATGATATTACATAATCACACAGAATACAATAGTAGAATTATTTAAACAATAGTATTAAACAGACATAATCAATCAAAACGTGTTCTATGTTGTGTTAGGTTTGCATCTGTTTCTAATTTTGTATTAGTTATGTATTTTTGATGTTAATTTTTATCATTTATTATATATATCATTAATAAATCATAAGTTATTAAATTATAAAAGTTTTAAAAGTAATATTTTATGTAAATATTATGTTTATGCACAAAACAAGGTCTTTCAAAAAATAGGAATTAATATGCAAATAAAAAATTAACATCAAAATAATGTATTATTGGAGATAGATTTCTCTCATTTTGATGCACCATTGAAGATGCTCAAGATGTCATTTTCCACTCAATATTAATCTTAAGTAACCGATTACATATTCCCTTATGAAGAAACGCTTAGCTAAAACAACAACCATATTTTGTATGTAAAATCAATTTTTTCACTTCATTGTGTCCTAACTCCTAATATACCTAGATCTACCGGGTATCATCAACACATATGAAGCCAAATCATGTTCACAGGATATGAACATATGTACTATTTGACCTGGTGCTTTTATATTCCATGTGATATCTTATCTGAATCAGTAAATAATTTACTTTGTACAATGTTAAGCAAACGCAAAAATCCAAATACTAGAGTTACAATGAGGATCCTTTTTTAAATATCGTGTAATATATCTCAGTTCAAACAAAAAATTGATTTAAATCTAAAGTGATCTATTTATGACAACAATATAAGAAAAATTCCCATCAATTACATCAACATTTTAATAACAGTACCAACCTTATAAATAAGCACCTAATTTATTATGATAGTATTAATTCCCAACCACCTTTTCATCATTTTTTTTAGAGATAAACTTTTCTAAGTGACAAAATTGATGATATAATCTGATCATAATACAAAGAATTAATGGGGAATCTCGTAATACAGTTGCAGTGTCGTATTAGGATTTGGTGACCATTATTTAAAAAAAAAAATCATTAGGCTAAAAATAAGTTGCTAAACATTATATCTAACCATGTGTGATCCGAAATTTTGGTATGATTTCATTGATGAATTGAAGAAAATGACTTGACCAAACTTGAAGAAAACTTCAGGATTAGCACAAAACGGTGCCAGATCTAGATTGGGCAAGATATTCGTAAAATTTGATTTTATTCGTTATTTATTTTTATTCGAACAAAAATAAACTTGGATATATGTAACTATACGAAATAAGCAAATACTAATATACAATATAAAAAATGAAACAAATCACTAATACTAATTTTTAAGAATGTATATCTGATCTGATCTACTATATGCATGTATATACATATATATATAGTATATACATTTTAAAATTTATATATACATATTATAATTATTATAGTTTGTGTAAGTTTACAATAATTTTTAAACTAAAGAATATTTTAGCTGTTAGAATTTTTAAAAATAGATAACTTTTTTATTTTTATAATAAAATATTATACCATCTATTTCATAATAAGTATTGTTTTAGGATTTCAATACAGTTTATATCATTAATTATTTCTTTTACCCCTATCAAAATATGAAAAAATAAAAATAATAGAATTCTAATAATTAAATAAGGGCAAAACGAATATATTACATTTTCTTAATTAGTGTTGTAAAACATAGAATTGCATATAATTTGAAAGGGAAAGAGTACTATTTTCTATTATTTTATTTAAATAAAATTATGTTTTATGGATTGAATTGGATATCCGGTTAAAAATATAAAATTGGATATCAAGACACCAAATATCCAAATAGTAGCGGATCGAACAAATCAGATAATTGATTATTCGGATAAAACGAATCAGATCACGAATACTTCCAAAAACTCGGATATTCTATTCGTTTCTACCCTACTCAGATCGTTTAAACATATAGATAGAGCTTCTGAGATTGACAAGTCACCGGGCTTATAGTTTTTGATAGATTTAATTAGGAAACATATGATATCATGAATACGACTCCACCAGCATGCTCAGGATTGTTTTAGATTGCCAGGTCGGATTATTAATAAGTGAACCAATACATCTCGACCAGCATGCTCAGCGGTTTTATATCCCTCTAGGCATGCCGCATGCATAATTCGTCTACCTCATGCATTGTATATAAACTTAAAGTAATGGGTTCTTGTAAAATGTTACGTTGGAAGTCGATAACTCCTAGAGTTCATTGAAAAGCAGATTTAATCAACTTTGCATGTATAGTAACGCTCACCAGATAATGCCATTCACGTTAAGACCTTGAGATTTCTTTTGTTTGTTTGGGCTGCCTTGGATTTATCATACAATCGCAATGAAAGCCGCTTTGACCATTAACCAACATGTTTAAGAGATTTAAATTAATTATGTTCAAAAGTGTTATCATTGGACTGGCCGTCTAACCGAGTGACTATACATCTTCCGCATTTATGTCACGATATTGTTTCATGATGCATTATTAATTTCATCTCCAACACCACCCCGACATCTAGTAATCCGACTTCTAAACTTTTCATAATTTACTTTCAGATTTTATGGTATAGAAAATTTTAATGCAAGGATCATTCCACTGTTACACTACATAGGCCCACCCTTTTTTCTTTTTACATATGTTCACCTTAAATGTATGTATTCTCTTTACCCATAATCACTTCCTTCAAAGTATATATTGTGAAAATCTGATATAAAAAAGGTTTCTGGATTATCAAGAGATGTTGGAAGAAATCCGTGATTTTCCGGATCCAAAACCACATGTAATATTAGTATTTGTAGTTATATTTTACAGCATCTAAGCTCTATATACGATGATTCAGCTTACACTGATAATATAATCTTATAGACGAAAATTCAGTTTCATGTTTACATTAAAAAGATTTTAAGTCTTAAATATTTACAACTAGACGTTAATTCCAAGTGGAGTCTATGATTAAGACAAGCTGTACATGATATTTATTTCTCAAACAAATATACATCAAAAGCTTCTTTTCATCTCATGAATTATGATTGCAAGAGAATATACATCAAAAGCTTTTTTTTTTATCAAAAAAAGAATATTACAGTATTAATTATGGTCAGATTGATTTTACTTTATAAATGATTTTTCCTTACAGATGTCAAAAAAAAAAGATTCTGTAGAACTGGTTTTTTAGTATTTGTTTCTCCTATAAATTAGACATCTCCTCGACCAACACTCTTCACACATCAAAGCATCACACACACAAACACACACTTTCTCTTCTCGTCTTTGATCTCTTCATCTTTTCTACACATTTAAATGGCCAGTGCTGATGTATGCATTACATATATTCTTACAAATTTTTCACACCTATTTTTCATTAGTCTTAAATTTGATTTGCGATCCAGTTCTAGATTATATGTTTTCACTTGTCTTAATCCATTTATATTCTTAAGTTTGCACATGATATAATAGAGATAAATATATATTGATCTACATAATTTCTAGTGTAATTATACCTAACAAAACCGTCACAAAGTTTTGAACTGATCTATGTTACAATGGTTTTGCAGGTTGAACAAGTGACTCCAGCTGCAGCTGAGCATGTTGAGATCACACCACCAAAGACAGTGGAGCCTGAGGAAACCGTCACCGCCGCTGTGACTGAGTCTGTTCCAGCTCCAGTAACAGAAACTGAAGCTCCCGTCGAAGTAAAGACTAAAGAAGTGGCTGTGGAAGAAACAGTGACGGAGGAGATCAAGAAAGAGGAAGAAGCTCCCGTCGAAGTAACAACTAAAGATGTCCCAGTGGAAACTACAGCGGTTGTGGAGGAAGAGACCAAAGCAGAAGAAGTTGTAGAGCCTAAGAAAGAGGAAGAAGAAGAGACCAAGACGGAGGAAACTCCAGCGGTTGTGGAGGACGAGACCAAAGCAGAGGAGGTTGTTGAAGAGCCCAAGAAAGTAGAGGAAGAAGAAACCAAGACAGAGGAAACTCCAGAGGTTGTGGAGGAAGAGAAGAAGGCAGAGGCAGAGGAGGAGAAACCCACTGAAGTAGCTGCCGTGGAATCCGCCGCAGCTCCGGTGGTTGAGAAGGCTGATGAGTAAATCTGAAAGAAGTACACTATTTGCTACTTTATAAGTATGTTGCGTCTTTGCTTTGTTGTTCTGAGTCTGTCACTCTTGTCCCTTTTTGCATCACCCTCTCTTTGTTCTCTTAAGTACTATTAATGTTTAATATAATGAAATCATCTTTTAAATAAAGTAATACAACCGAAACTCATCTCTAGCTTATTACAACTAACCATTTGGTCCTAGGATCATCACTTAGAACTAATACTGAGATTCATATTTAAGCAAAAACTTACAGACACTTTTATCTTTTTGCTCTTGTCTCTCCAGTGAGAATACCCATCAACTCAGCCACAAGATCATCATCACCATGTTTCACATACCTTTTCAAGAACTCCTGATCTGTATATGCCAAAACAGTTGACACTGGAGGGAGTTCACTTTTGATCAACCCTTTGGCGATAAGAGCTTTGATTACATTACACCTTGGCACAATCCTCTTCTCCATGCTGTATCCAAGCACCTGAGGGTACGAAGCCACAGCCTTTAGCGGCCAATTCATCTCTTTCTTCACCAAAAACTCAGTTTTCTTCTTCACCATCCCAACAGATAATCCAAGGCATTGAGGAAAACGCTTGAGAATCATCACAAACTCATCTCTGCTGAATCCCAGCTCTAGAAATGTCTCAAGGGATTCAGCTATATTCTTGTCCGAGTATGACAAGAAGGTTGGCCACTTCTTGAAGATTGTCCATACAGCATCCGCAGCAAAGCCTAGCCTGTTGTAGACTTCAACTCTTGCTTTGATTGTTTCGTTATTCAATCCATTAACAAGGCGCAGAGCTTCGACAAACCTAAGGGTGGTGGTGGTGGGATCAAAACCCATCTCAAGGATCTTCTTGACTGACTCTTCAAACTTGTCTTTCCCACATTCAAACTGGACACGGGATGTTAGCAAATGGAGACAGAGTTTTGCTTCAGTGTATAAAAGTTCTCATTGCTAACAATAGTTATAAAATATCTCATGTTAAACAAATAAGCTTTTTAGAAATGATTTTATTAATAAAAAATAATTACAAAATATATTTTAGTGACTTGATCAAATTAAATTTGTAAAAATATGATTTTTTTTATCATTTCAAGCATGATACTTTAAAATAAACCATTTTTATATTTTATATGATATATAATTTAATTTAAATGATATATATATATATATACAATATATATTAAATGAATTTTTCTATTCATTTGGTTTTATAATCATTTGTATTTTGCTATAATTTTTGTTGTTTTAAGCCATTGATTATAAAATTTTCATTGTGTGATATTTAAAAGTTTTAGTAATTTATAGTTATTTAAAAAACACAAAATATAACATATACAAAAAAATCTAAAATTTTGTAATATGGTTAATGTCATTGTTTTATTTATTTTAATAGCATAAAATTAAACAAAAAATGAACCAGATTTGGAGGCTTAAAATTATACCGAACTGAACCAAAACAATTACGCTTGAGTTTTGGTTTTCATTTTTGTTACTGAACTGAATCTATTTTTTTTTTGTTTCTTTCAGTTAAATTCCGGTTAGATTATCTCAGTTCAGTACGGTTAGTTTGAAATTTTGGTTATGATTTGGAGATACAAGTTTGGTATAAACCGATTTTGTTTGGTTTGGAAATTTTTGAATAAACAAACTGAAGTAGCAGCCGTGGAAGCCGCTGCAGCTCCGGTGGAAGTTGCAGTGGAGAAGGCTGATGAGTAAATCTAAAGGACTTTATAAGTTGCTTTGTTGTTCTGAGTCTGTCCCTCTTGTCCCTTTTTGCATCACCCTCTCTTTGTTTTCTTAAGTAACATTTTTATTTAATACAATGAATTCTCTTCAAATAAAATAACACAACCCAAACTCATCTCTTGCTCATTACAACTAACCATTTGGTCCAAGAATCATCACTTAGAACTAATATCTAAGATTCTTATTTAAGCAAAAAACTTACAGAAAGTTTAAGAATCATCTATCTTTTTGTTATTGCCTCTCCAGTGAATATACCCATCAACTCAGACACAAGCTTCTCATCATCCTCATGTTTCCTCACATACCTTTTCAAGAAATCCTCATCTGTACATACCAAAACAGTCGACACTGGAGGAAGCTCACTTCTGATCAACCCTTTAGACATTAACGCTTTAATCACATTACACCTTGGCACCATCCTCTTCTCCATACTGTATCCAAGCACCTGAGGATACGAAGCCACAGCCTTCAATGGCCAATTCATCTTCTTCACAACAAACTCAGTCTTCTTCTTCACCGTCTCTACAGAATACCCAATACACGGAGGAAGACGCTTGACCATCATCGCCACATCATCTCTACTGAAACCTAACCCTATGAATGTCTCAACAGAGTTCAATATATTCTTCTCTGAAACACCAATGCACTGCGGAAACTTCTTGACCACTAAACGGACCTCGTCATCCAATAGTCCACACTTCCTCATGGTTTCAAAGTTTAAAGTTATCTTCTTCTCAGAGAGTGTCAAGAAAGTAGGGAACTTCTTGAACATTCCCCATATATCATCCACAGTAAACCCTAAACGCTTATAAACATTAACTTTCTCCTCCATAGCTTCTTTGTTCAACCCTTTAACTACTCTTAAAGCTTCAAGAAACTTAGGCGTAGTTGGATCAAAACCCATCTCAAGAACCTTCTTAAGAGACTCTTCAAACTTCTCTTTACCACAAACATGTGGAAGGTCAGAGATAAGCAAAGGGAACAACAACCTTAAAGGCACACCAAGATCTCTCAAAGCCAAAACATTCCTAATCTTATTCTCCTGTTTACCCTTATGCGGCTCAAACTTAGAGCTCTTCTCATCAGCTTCCATAACCTCTTTGACGAAGTCATAATACACACTTAAAGACCTGTCCTTTGACAAAATCTTCGGAACTTTTGAGATGGTTTCAGTGAGCTCTGAGGTTGAAGACACTCTGGACTGTAAAGTCTGAAGCTTTGGAGCTAAAGACTTGTCAGCATCTAATGTAAGGAGTAGTGGGTAATCTGTAACGATGGTGGAGATTTGAGAATCTGTGAAGGCGTGAGTTCTAAAGAGTTTCAGAACTGAATCTGGGTTACACTTGTTGGTGAAGCTGACTCTCTTTGAGATTGATTCAGCGAGTTTTGTGGTTAGACCCAGTGAGTCAACGAGGTAAGAGACTGTAAAGTTGTGACCTTTGCGAGCAGCGGAGGAGAAGGAAGTGAGATAAACAGTTTCTTTTTTCGGAAAATTTACTGAGAGTCTACATTTCTGCAGCCTTGTTCTGCGGAGTATCAGAGAATACATGACAGAACACAACAAATGTTTTTGTGAGTTTTTACTTGGTAAACCCTAATCTGAAATCTGTCGTGTACGAACGATTAAAACATGGATGGGCCTTATTGGGCCTGTAGAAGAACCTAATCTGCTAATGTTTCCATGTTTTTGTTCATCCTGAACACAACTTCAAACACTTCAAAGCAACTATCTGATGACCCATGCCACACAAGTTTTTCTGTGGGGAATCCATCAAGAAATTAGTCAGATTTATTTATAAATACCATCTTACTTTCAATCATACACAACGCAAAAACAAAAAAAAATTCATGCCTTTAATCTTGTTTATGGATGGATAAACCTCGTATGGAGTATGGATCCAGATACAAATTTTACTTACAGATAAATACACACAAAGTATTAGCAAATTCATGGCATTAGCTCAATAATAACTGGAAGCATCAATCGGTAAATTGAAATATTTTTTTCTCTACTTATAAAAGTAATAGAAATATTAAGAAGTTTTTTTGGAATCATTATTTATACTAGTTGCATACTTCCCGCGGGGCCGGAATCATTATGTTTGCGTATATTTGTTTCGATTTAGTGGTTTATTGGATTCTTCTAATGACACCAAATATTAATGAAATGGAAAGAATGTAGTAAGAGTGTAAAATGAAAATATTGTATATCTAATGTGTTAAATGTTATTTATATGCGAAGTAAGGTTTATAGGAACAGTTAGGTTATAATATAGTTTTTAGGGTGTAAAAGAAGGTGTCTATTTTTTTTCTTTTTCTGTAAATAGTTTTTATATCGTATGTCAAAACTTGATATAATTGTATATTTATAGTATTTATATTTATATTAAACGATTTATCAATTTAAAAATAACCTTAATTAAGTTAATATTTGTTGTTTAAGTTTCATTAGATAGGTTTTTATATATGGTTTTTTGTAAGTTTGGGTTTTGTTCATAAATGATGGGGCATTTTTATCTACGGCGTCATCGAGGAATCCATTCGCCGAAGTCTAGAGTCGGTGGTGAGGAATGTTTTCAATGAAATTATAGTAGTTATTAAAATGAAAGAGAAATTACATATTCATTTAATAAATAACAAAAAATACTTAATTTTGTTGTTTATTTTATTTTATTTCACATACAATTTTTTTGAAAATATATTAGGAATGAGTTAAATGTTATTTATATGCGAAGTAAGTTTATAGGAATAGTTAGGCTATAATATAGTTTTTAGTGTGTAAAAGTAGGTGTTTTGTTTTTGCTGTAAATAGTTTTTATATCATAGGTCAAAACTTGATATAATTCTATATTTATAGTATTTATATTTGTATTAAACGATTTATCAATTTGAAAATAACCTTAATTAAGTTAACATTCGTTGTTTAAGTTTCATTAGATATGTTTTTATATATTTTTTTTGTAAGTTTGAGTTTTGTTCATAAATGATGTGGCATTTTTATTTACGGCGTCATCGACTGTGGGAATCCATTCGCCGGAGTCTGAAATCGGTGGTGAGGAATGTTTTCAATGAACTTATAGTAGTTATTAAAATGTAAAAGAAATTACATATTCATTAAATAAATAACAAAAATAATTAATTTTATTGTTTTTTTTATTTTATCTCATATACAAATTTTTTGAAAATATATATTAGGAAATATGTGCAAGGATTTCACTTTTTGAGCTCTTAATCTATATTATTCAAGCCTCATTAAGCCATCCACGTAAGTAGCCGCGTGGGATTCACTTTTTTTTTTGGTCGGTTCGTTTTTGGATTCATTTTTTATTATTTTTGGGTTGAACTATATTATAATAGGATAGTTTTAAGGCTCTTTAAGCCCTCCGCGTAGGCAACCGCGTGAGACTTGCTTTTTTTTTTGTTTTTTTATTGTTCGTTTTTGCATCCATTTTTAACTATTTTTAGTTTGAACTCGTTAAGCTTTAAGGTTTATCCAACTATTTTGATCTTTAAAACAATAAGTCATAAAAAACATAAAAACCTTACAAACAAAAAGCCCATATGATAATAACCCAAATCAAAAAATCAAAAATAAATAATGGCTGCGTGGTTTGAATCCACGATCTTGCATGCTTAATTAGACACTTTATACCACTTGGCTAAAGTGTATTTCATTGTTTGTAATCATCTTACCAAGACTATAAGTTTTTAAAAAATACCTATGGAACCCACAAAACTGCTGACGTAGCGCATTGTGGAACCTAGAAAGTGTACTATTATAATATAGATTTGAAAGGATGGTCAAATCAATGAGTGGAAGCAGAAGTAAATTCAAGACAAAGTGTCGAAGAACATAAACCTAAACTTTTGGGAGTATTTGAAGAAGCATTGGCGAAACCGGGAACAAAGTTTTAGTCAGAAACCAACTCCAGTAACCAACATAGCTAGTATGGTGTAAAGGGGTTTATGTCCACAACCTAGAATCCACCAGTTACTTTCCCACGAAGTTCAGCTAGTAATTTTTTTTAAAATTTTTTTTCATTACTATCTATTAACTTTTACTAGATTTTTAACCTTTTTAACCTGCCCTTAATCCATCAGTTACTTTCCCGAGAAATTCAACTAGTAATTTTTTTTTTTAAAAATTACTATCTATTAACTTTTACTAGATTTTTAACCCGCGCTTAAAAAATGCGAGTACCATTTTTATTGTTTTATCTACAGATGGATCGATAAGTTTTTTACTTTGATGATATAAGATGTTACTATCTAATATAATTTTTTAAAATTAATGCATATTTTAATTTATTGTTATCATCAATATCTACGTAAATGTATTGTACGTAATTAAGTAGTTTTATTTTGGGAAAATAATATTAACTAACTACGCCTGGTGTTGGGAAGCGGGTCAAACTCGGCGCAGATAATTATTAAATAATATGTTTTAATTAATTTTTTTCTAAAAGATAATATTAAATAGTATGTTTTAATTAATTTTTAATACCTTTTTTAAAATTTTTTTTAAAGGAATTTAGTATATTTTTGAATAATAAACTTAAAAGAAAAATTTTATTTTTCGGATTAGCGGGTACTCACAATTGAAATTAGAACAATCCACACCATCCCGCATAAAATACACTTGACCCGCACCTACATCCGCTACTTAATTTTTTTAAATTGATCGATCCGTTCCGTGGCGGGTCAAACGGGGTGGGACTGCTAATATCAAAATTCTAAGCTCTAACTACACCAATTAAAGCTTATGAGTTTATTTTTGAAAGAAACTTTAGAAATAATTAGAAGGTGAATTTGATCCATTAATGAAACCCATTTATATATAGTTTTTAGGCAAAAAACAAAAAAAACAAATTACCATTACTGAAAAATTAATTTTGTTAATAAAAATAAAGGTATAATTGGAAAGCCTAAAAATTCATTAAACATAATGTTTATGTTTTAATGGCATTGATGATTATTTAGACTCAAGAAAACAATTATAACCCCTTTGACGTTGAAGTCGACGTACCAAATTCAGGATCTGGTTATGAACGAAGACATCTAACTAGTCCAATCCCAATCATAGAACATCATTTTATTCTAGGCTCCACTGATGAAAGATGGATCTTCTGTTTTCTCCAAGATCTTAACTCAGGAACAAATGAACAACCTTTTTCTTAAGATATGTTTTCAAATATTTAATTCAATTTATGTTTCTAAGATGATTATAATTTTGTTTTCTTTTTCTTTCACTACAAGAAAACTTACTACGAAATTTTACTAGGAAAATAATTCCTCGTAAATTTACTACGAAATTACTTCGACATTATGAGGAAACAAGTTTTCCTCGTAAGGTCCTTATACAGGTACAAGAAAAATATTTCCTCGTAACATCGTAGTAACGTTACGAGGAAATTACGTGGAAATAGTACATTTCCTCGTAAGCCCGTAGTAAGTCAATTTCTTCGTAAATTCCTAGTACAATATTACTACGAAATTAAGAGGAACAGATTTGTTACTACGAACTTAGGAGGAACTGGATAGGAAATATCAAATTTAAATCAAAAACGTGTTTTGTACCTACATTTCCTAGCAATTTCCTAGTAAATGCTCAGATTCGAAAATTTCTATAAATACCACAATTGTGATTCATTTGAAACACACCAAAAAATAATCAGCTATAAGCTTGATCAAACACAAAAGAAAAATGTCCGCTCCGAGAAATATTTTCGAGTTGCGGAAGTGGATGTATTCACACAGAGATAATAACGGGAGGGTGACGAAAGAATATCTCGAAGGGTTGGAGACGTTTATGCATCAAGCAGATTCTACACCACTCACGTAGGAAAATGGTAAGATGTTCTGTCCTTGTCGGAAATGCTGCAATACAAAATTAGGCCATCGTGAAAATGTTTGGAAGCATTCAATAAATAGAGATTTCATGCCATATTATTATATTTGATATCAACATGGAGAAGACGATGCTAGTTGTAAGAATGAAGGTAGCAGTAGTAATAGCAATTTTCAGGTTGAACCGGCTGATCATTTGCGTAATGAAAACAGCTATCATCACCAAGAAGAACAAATGGTAGATTGTGATAGGGTTCATGATATGGTAGGTGATGCATTTGTAACTCATGATGATGAAGTTGAAGAACCTAACTTAGATGCAAAAAAGTTTTATGAAATGTTAGATGCTGCGAATGAGCCAATTTACAGTGGTTGTAGAGAAGATCTGTCTAAATTGTCGTTGGCTGCTAGAATGATGAGTATTAAAACCGATCACAATCTACCTGAAAATTGTATGGATGCATGGGCAGACTTGTTTAAAGAGTATTTTCCAGAAGACAATGTGTCTGCCGAATCTTATTATTAGATTCAGAAATTGGTATATAGTCTTGGGTTGCCCTCGGAGATGATAGACGTTTGCATCGACAACTGCATGATTTACTGGGGAGATGATGAGAAGTTAGAAGAATGTCGATTTTGTAAGAAGCCACGATTCAAATCGCAAGGTCGAAGGCGTAATAGGGTACCGTACCAAAGGATGTG